AATATTAGTTGACTGTATATACTTGGGTTTATTTCTGGACTTATTCTGTTTCGTTGTCTGTGTGTCTGTTTTTATGCCAGTATAATACTGTTTTGATTACTAAAGCTTTGTTATATAGTTTGAAATTAGGAAGTGTGATGCCTCCAGCTTTGTTCTTCCTTCTCAAGATTGCTTTGGCTACTCAGGGTCCTTTGAGGTTTCTATGAATTTTGGATTGATTTTTCTGTTCCTGTGAGAAAACCATTGGAACTTTTATAGAGGTTACATTGAATCTGTAGATTGCTGTGGGTAGTATGGACATTTTTAACAATAATAATTCTTCCAATCCATGATTATGGGATATTTTCCCATTTATTTTTCCAATTCCTTTCATCAGTGTCTCATAGTTTCCAGGGTACAGATCTTTCACCTCCTTGGTTAAATTTATTCCAAAGTATTTTATTGTTTTTGATGCTATTATAAATTAGACTGTACTCTTAATTTCTGTTTCTAATAGTTCCTTGTAAGTGTACAGATATTCAATTGATTTTTCCTGAAACATGGCTGAATTAATATATTAATTATAACAGTTTTTGGTGGAGCCTTTAGGGTTTTCTATATATAAGAACATGTTATCTGCAAACAGGGATAATTTAACTTCTTCCTCTCCCTGGAGAAGAAGCATTTTATTTCTTTTTCTTGCCTAATTGGTCTGGCTAGGACTTCTGGTACTATGCTGAATACAAGTGACAAGAGTGGGCACCCTTGTCTTATTCCTGATCTTAGAGGAAAAGCTTTTAGTTTTTCATTGTTGAGTATAACGTTAGCTATGGGTTTATCATATATCCCTTTATTACATTGAGTTTCCTTCTTTTTATACCTCATTAATTGAGAAATTTTTTAATCATGAAAGGGTACTGAATTTTTCAAATGCTTTTGATGCATCTGTTAAGTTGACAGTAGAGTATTTATCTTTCATTCTGTTAATGTGGAGTTTCACATTTATTGATGTGTGTGTGTTGAACCATCCTTGCATCCCAGGGATAAATCCCACTTGATCATGGTGTATGAGCCTTTTAATGTGCTGTTGAATTCAGTTTGCTAATATTTTGTTGAGGACTTTTGCATCTATATTCATCAGGGGTATTGGTCTGTAGTTTTATTTTATCTTTTTATTATTATTTTTTTTTTGCGGTACGTGGGCCTCTCACTGTTGTGGCTTCTCCTGCTGCGGAGCACAGGCTCCAGACGCGCAGGATCATCGGCCATGGCTCACGGGCCTAGCCGCTCCGCTGCATGTGGGATCTTGCCCGGACCGGGGCACAAACCCATGTCCCCTGCATTGGCAGGCGGACTCTCAACCACTGTGCCACCAGGGAAGCCCCTGTAGTTTTCTTATAGTGTCCTTATCTGGCTTTGGTATCAGGGTCATGCTATCCTTTTAAAATGAGCTTGGAAATGTTTCCTCTTCTTCAATTTTTCGGAAGAGTTTGAGAGGGACTGGCATTAATTCTTTTTTAAAATTTTGGTAGAATTCACTACTGAAGCCATCTGGTCTAGAGTCTTCTTTGTTGGGAGGGTGTTTTTTTTTTTTTTTTTTTTTTTTGGAAGTCCCCGGGCCTCCCCCGGCTGTGGCCCCTCCCGCCACGGAGCACAGGCTCCAGACGCGCAGGCCCAGTGGCCATGGCCCATGGGCCCAGCTGCTCCGTGGCACGCGGGATCCTCCCGGACCGGGACACGAACCTGTGCCCCTTGCATTGGCAGGCGGACTGTTGGGAGGTTTTTGATTATTGCTTTACTCTCCTTACTCACTGTTGGTCTGTTCAGATTAATTTACCACAATCAAATACAGAAATTTTACACTTTACCCTCCCTTCCCCCACTTTATGTAATTGATGTCAGATTTTACTTGTTTCTATTAGCAAATTTCTGTGGTATTACTTATTCTTATTAGTTCTGTCTTTTAATTTATATACTAGTATTAAAAGTGATTTACATGCCACCATTACAGTATACAATAGTCTTTGTTAGTATTTATATTTAACTTTAGCAGTGAGAGTTATATTTCATATACTTTTATGTCTCTGGGTGGTTGTAATTGCCTCCAGGACCTTTGTCAATATTTCTGGTGCTAGGTCAAGGGTTAGCTTCATTATTTGAAGACAGCTGGCCTATTATAAGGTGCATGGATGCATGTATTTCTCTGTAGGTCCTTGGGGGTCTCCCATTAGATCACTGGGCTAGTCCCTGGATGGGGGACTGCTTCCAGGCCATAGCTGTGAGAAGTGGAAGCCAGTTTATAAGTGCCCTTTCAACATCTGCAGTTGGATCAATGTCAAGTGCCTACCTCCAGAGACACAGATATATGTGTCCCTTGGCAGGTACCTGGGTGAGCAGAAATACTCTCTGATTATGACTGTGAAGGGTTGGAGCTGGGTTACAGGACTGCTTCAAGACCTATAGTCAGACTGAGGTTGGCGGGTACCTCCAGGAGCTCAGATGAGCATGTCTTCAGGCAGGTTCCTGGGTGGGCAGGGAGTTCCCAGCCTGAAGCTGCAAGAGACTGGAACAGAATTACAGGGCTGGTTAAGGATCTGCAGTCAGATGGAAGTTGGAGGGCTTGCAGTGGGGTACAAATGGGCATGCCTCCTACCTGGTCCCTGGATGTCCAGGACTATTGGCCAGGAGCGTCTGGAGTCAGGTCATGGGTCACCTAAGGGTCCACAGCCGGGATTAAGGTGGGTGAGCCCTGTTACCTGGGGCTTGGAGTGGTGTGATTCCTTCTGGGTCCCTTGGCAGGTGGTGCTGGTGGCTAGTTCAAGACCAAATAAGGCTATAGCCAAGTCCAAAAGGGCACAGGGCTGTTTCTGGGTCAGTAGCTGGCACCACAGTCCGCCAGCAGCAAGTCTCCTACTTGAGCATGGGCCTGCCTTCTAAAAACAATCCTCCAGAATCCAAATATTTTACAGTGAAATGTAACATCTATTGGAAAGTTAAAGTTAGAATCTAAGTGTTAATATCTATAATGTAGCTTAATAGACTTTCTGAAACACTTTAATTCAACAATATGCTATCTGTGTATCTGAATTTGTGCCCCAAACTATCCACTCAGGACTTTTAAAACTTCTTTCTGGCCTCGAACATATGAATTCACTTTTATCCTATAAATTTATTTATTTTATTTCTTATCTGTCTGTCTTTTCCTTTCAAAAAAGGTTGGTATTAATATCTTATGTGAAATTAGCTTATCTAGAAGAATGAAGATAAGTAAAAAAAATTAAATGACAATGCAATTAATTCACAGAAAATGTCTATTTTATTTCATTCATAATATCTAGATCATTTTTAAGTCTAGCATTTCATTTTGGTAATTATCATTTCAATTAAGAACTTACTTTGAATTAACTTCACTTTGTAAATATATTTTAAACTAAAAAGGTCTCACATTTCATAAAGTTAGTTTGGTGAACATTTGCCCCTTTTTCCAAAAGTTGCATGGGTGGGAGAATGTTATTTCATTTTTGAGCTTTAGTTCAGTCACATTATATTCCCAGCACCACTCTTAATTGTGTATGTGAGACACTGTCCCTGATGCATAAAAAGTTTTTCCATTCGACAGATCTCTCATTCCAACTTTAAATTGCTTTGGGAAAGGGGGAACAATTACAACTGTTGCATAACAAATATTTACTCTTTCACATCTACGGAATCTGACATTGTTGAACCTGACCTTAATTCAGAATGCTGGCATAAATACTAAGAAGAAATTAACAGGGTCTTCTAGGAGGTGGAAATAATTTATCAGTATAATGTAAGCCTTGAATATCATGACACTATACCTTATCATTCCATAATTAAACCTATTATTAAATATGGATTTAAAATATGAACAGCATGAGGCAGTGCAGTTACTAATTTTTTATTACCAAATACAGCTGTGATATGTTATTCAGCATACTTTGGGAGTTTATTAGAAATGCAGAGTCACAGGGCCTGCACCAGACTTAGTAAAAGAAAATCTACATTTTAACAAGATACCCAGGAAATTTATATACATATGAAGAATTTGAAAGACTGAAATAATTGATTCTTCATAAATCCACCAAGACCAAAAATTCTGGGTAGTTCTTGGTGGGAAAACATGGTATAATAACTTTTGGTGTTGTAGCCCAAAGAGCTCTAGACTTCTTTGGCAAAGATCTGAGCTTCAAGCTCTACTGTTTACTTATAGGCTGGATTACTTTGGCCATATTCTGTCTTTCACATTTGAAAAAAAAATAGAGATAATGAGAAGATTAATTTTTTTTGTAAAGTATAAAGTGCTACACACACATACACAGATATATATTTAAGCATTATTACTGTTTTCTCAGGTTAACTTAAATAAATAAATTATGAAGAATAACTTTGAAGCCACAGAATAAAACAAAAGAAGAGAGACTATTTTTCTTCCAAGATCTCCACTGTATACTTGCAGAGTTAGTTTATACACTGGCCTTGTAATGGGAAAGACTGAGATCAACAACTAACTAGACCTTTGAACAAGTGTTAAATTGCTGTGTATGTGGTTCAGTTTACTATGATAAAATGTCTGCCCTATAAAAATACGCAATTTAACAGACTGGATGGAGACCCAGGGTGTCAGGCAGACAAACAAAAATGCATAAAATCGAACTTGCTTTAAAATTTTCAAAATTTCTGTTAAACCCTGAATCAAAATTCCAGGTCTAGTTGAGTTGTCTTTTGCCTTCTCCACCACTCTGTCACTGAGCCTGACTAAATGAAGTCAGGTTTGTCATCTGAAGTATTCTAAGGCTTTTAAAAAACTCGACTTAGGGTGTCTTCAACAGTGGGGAAGGTTGCTTCTGAATTTGCGTCTGATCCTAGGTAGATCTTCAAACATTAGACACAGGGCATTGAAATCTCAATTTCCCAGTATCATTGTATTCTAGGTGCAGTCATTCTTAAAGATAACTGAATGACAGAGCTTCAAAGAAAACATTCTATTTCACTCTAGAATAATGCCTATCCAAGAAATTTGTTACATTTGTTGTTATTTGGCAGTGAACATGTTTTATGTTGGTATTCCTTTGACATCCTGAAAGCTGAGACATGGATAGAATAAATAAGACATTTGTGAAAGAATTCATTCTTCTGGGACTCTCTGGTTACCCTGAACTTGAAATTATTTTCTTTGCTCTAATTTTAGTTATGTACCTACTGATTCTGATTGGCAATCATGTTCTGATCATAGCAAGCATCTTTGATTCCCGTCTTCACACTCTCATGTACTTCTTCCTGCACAACCTCTCTTTTCTGGATATCTGCTATACATCCTCCTCTGTTCCCTCAACTTTGGTGAGCTTAATCTCAAAGAAAAGGAATATTTCCTTCTCTGGATGTGCAGTGCAAATGTTCTTAGGATTTACAATGGGGTCAGCAGAGTGTTTCTTCCTTGGCATGATGGCTTTTGACCGCTACGTGGCCATCTGTAACCCGCTGAGATACCCCATCATCATGAGCAAGGTGGTGTATGTACTGATGGCTTCTGTGTCATGGCTGTCTGGCAGAATCAACTCAATTGTGCAAACATCTCTTGCCATGAGATTGCCTTTCTGTGGTAATAATATTATCAGTCATTTCTTACGTGAGATACTGGGTGTTCTCAAGCTAGCTTATGCTGATATATCCCTCAATATTGTTACCCTAGCAGTGTCAAATATGGCTTTCCTGGTTCTTCCCCAGCTGGCCATTTATTTTCTCCTATATGTTCATCCTCTACACCACCTTGAGAATGAACTCAGCCACAGGGAGACGCAAGGCCTTTTCCACCTGTTCAGTGCATTTGATGGTGGTAATTATGATTTATGGTACCATCTTCTTTATGTATGCCAAACCCAAGTCTCAAGACTTCCTTGGACAAGACAATTTGAAAGCTAGAGAAGGACTTGTTTCCATGTTTTATGGGGTAGTGACCCCAATGCTAAATCCTATAATCTATAGCTTGAGAAACAAGGATGTAAAAGCTGCTGTGAAATATTTGCTGAGTCAGAAATCTGTTAACCAATAAGACCAAAGGGAAATGTGGGTGTTTAGTATATAAAGACTAGACATGACATCATTGGGCAATCATTGACAACCTTCTTTGGGGAAAGCAAAGTTATATAGAGAGATTTTTATTCTTTGTTTCCACTATCTCAGCTACAATCCCTGAGAACAGTAGTCTGCTACAGACTCAGATTCCAATAGATTCTGATCCATATTTCACAAAGGCAGTCACTTTAGAATCTTATCCCTGGTGATATCTGAAATGAGTGTTTTTGGTGTACTGTCTGGCAACACAGTGGAAAATATCACACATACTCTTCAGAAGTAGTGAGGCAGGAGTATAAATTCTGTTCCATCACAAACCACTTAATATTGGGAAAGTTATTCACTTTTTCTAAAATGTAGTTCTCTTATTTGAAAAACGAGAGTAATTAAACACTGCTCTCAGTGTTATTGTAAAGATTGAGTAAGTTGTACAAAACACCAGGCATAGTGCCAATTCATATTAATTCCCTTTGTAGAGGATGTTGTTTGACTTTTTCTGTTGACCCAGAATTTAAGTATTGAAGTGGAGACTCCAAATTGAAGGTAAATGACACCAAGTAGCACTTTTTATTTTTTAAGCTACCAATTGTTAGAGTCAGGCATCTCTCCCTTGTCTTCCTACTGGTATCAACCACCACTCTTCCTTGCCTCCTCTCCCCACATATCTATATAAAGTAAACATCAAGAAGGGGGAAGGTAGAATCAAAGGAGATTTATACATCATGGGAAGTGCTCAATGAATGGTGGGAAGTGTTTCACTACTGTTCCTATGAAAGAGTAGGAAGACTGTTCTTATCCAAGACAAGTAAGGTAGTGCTGCAAAACTTGTTGAGGTTTTGGGTGTCTACAAAGAACTGACATCTGGCTTGATGAATGGAGGCTTGCTGAGCTTTTTCTCTCTAGGCTGTAGACTAGCAGAAGAGCTGCTCTAGAAGAGGGCTGGGGGATGGGTGTCTTAGGGCTGAAAATAACCAGAAAGTTTTTAGTTTGCCTGAAATATTTCTTTTGACTCTGAAAATCTGAAATTTGTGACTGGGGAGAGAAATTCATTTCATTTTATACTCCAGTGAGTTAAAACTCCTCAGTAAACCTATTATAGGCTTTTTGGGTGGTTGGTTTTTTTTTTTTTTTTCCACTTTGTGTAGATTATTTTTCCATGGCTGAGCACAGCATATCATTGGTCCATATCACCAGCCATTGTGACAGCTGATTTCAGCCTTATGGTACTACCTAAATTTTCTCTTCCCTATTGGTTTTGGAGCCATAGTATGACCCCAGACCTCCTACCTGAGAACTGTACTCCCTGCCAATCTACATCCTTGGGTAAATCCATGTTTTTGATCTATGTGATCTGGTCACTAAAATCCTGCTGCCTGTCTTCTGTCTCACCTGGGTTGGAGTATTGTCACTGCAACAAACCTCTAACTGTGGGTCCTCTCCTCTGGCTTGTATCACAGTGGGTGCTGCTTTTGGTTCTATGTAGGCAGGCATGTACCAAACCCTTTAGGTGAGGCTTTTTAACTTCTCCCTACTCCACTGGGATGAGCCCTACATTTCAGTCTGATCCAAGTTTGATTCTTTTCAAACTTTGACCTATGCTACCAAGGTTTTAGCACATGTCTGTATGTTCATGGTTCTACTTCTAGAACCATGGTCCCAGCCAATTCATTAACACCTTAATTTTTTCCCCCCACAAAGCAAAGGGTGCTAGCATCTCATATGCATGTTTATATCAAACTGAATGCTTTATTTACAAAAATTGGTTAAAATTATTCTTTCCGTTGCTATATAAAATGTTGGAGCTATGTTGCTTCAATTTTGACAGGTTCTGCTCATGTTGATGAATGCCCAGAAAATTAAGTTTTAAAACTAATCTGCCCTCCCAAGAAATTGAGAAATCTCAAAAAGGTTGTTACATGTATTATTTTGTGATAAATAATAGATATTTTAGAAATTCAAAAAACTGTGGAAGACTATAAAGAAGAAAATATTGTTACCACTGTTGCTACCTCCTACAGGTGACCACCATTAACATTTTTATTATTTATCTTATTAATTTGGAGTTTAAAATTAATCAGTTTAATGTTGGCTTATTTTGGTGCACTGTGGTACATTTGAAGTTGCTATTTTGAAAGTTTTTTTAATGTGTGTAGAGCTCATTAGGTTTCACAGAATAAATTTACTACATAGAAAATGAATTTACTATAGCAGGTGATATGATTTTTTAATTTCTCTTGTTAAATTATATGTCCCTCCCCCCAAATCATATTACCTGCTGTCAGTGTCACTGTACATGTTTCCTCAAACTTTTGCAGCTCAGGTCTGTGTTTGCATGTGTGTGTATACATATATAAACTTTTAATTTTGGAAAATTTCGAATAACCATAAAAAGAAAGCTATATAATGAAACCTCATATACCAATCACTCAGTTTTAAGAATTGCTAGCTCATTGTTTCACCAATATCTATACCTACTCACTCCCCTTTTCCATATTTTTAAGCAAGTATTGGATATATATGTGTGTGTAAATAATTTTTATTTTGAAATAAGTTCAGACTTATAGAAAAGTTGCAAGAATCATAGAAAGAATTTTCTTTAAGCCTTAACCCAGAATCTTCAGAAATTATATCTTACCACATTTGCCTTATCATTTCTTTATATATATATGTAAGTATATTAATATATATGTAGAGAGAGAGCTGTTTGACAGTAAGGTACAGATATTGTATCTCTTTACCCCTAAATATTTCACTCTGTCTTTCTTAAAAGCATTCAAAGACTTTTTCTTTTTACCATAAACAGAATATAATTATTGACATAAAGAAACAATGCTATTTAATTTAGCAGTCAGCAAAAAATGACCCTGGGCCTTGGCTTGCTACCTATATTTGTGTGGTCCATGAGCTAGGAATGATGTCTGCATTTTTAAACTGTTGAAAAAATTAAAAGAAAAATAATACTTCATGGCACCTGAAAATTATTGGAATATCAAACTTGAGTGTCCATAAAATTTTTAAAGACCCTTTATTTGGTGATAATTATAGATAATTATAATTATAGACTCATAGGAAATTACAAAAATAGTATAAAGAGTATCATGTACCCTTCACTCCACTTCCCCCAATTTTGATACCTTATATTATAGAAGTACAATATCAAAACCACAAAATTGACATTGGTTCAATACTATTAACTATACTACAAAACATATTCAGTTTTTTCCATTTTCTGTGTATTCATTTGTGTGTGTGTGTGTGTGTGTGTGTATGTAGTTCTATGCAATTTTATCCTATGTACAGATTCTTGTAACCACCACCATAATTGAAATATATACCTGTTCCATAACTACCAGGAAACTCCCCTTTTGTTACCCTGTGATGGTTAATTTTATGTGTTTTGCTAGGCTATTGTACATCAAACATCAGGCTAGATGTTGCTGTGAAGGTAGTTTTTAGATGTGATTGACATATAAATCAGTAAACTTTGAGTAGAACAGATCACCCTCCGTAATGTGGGTGGACCTCATAGAGTCAGTTGACAGCCTTAAGAGAAGACTGAAGTCCTCAGAAATGGGAGGAATTCTGCCTCCAGACTGTCTTCAGACTTAAGACTACAAGGTTGACTCTTGCCAGAATTTCTGGCCTGCCAGCCTTCCCTGTAGATTTTAGAATTGCCAGCCCTGACAATCACATGAGCCAATTCCTTAAAATCCATCTCTCCCTCTCCCTACCCCCCCCTTACTTTCACTTACTGTCTTATCTATCTATCTACCTATCTATCTATCTATCTATCTATCTATCTATACACATCCTTTTGGTTTTGTTTTTCTGCAGAACCCTGATGAATATATACCCCTTTCTATTTGCACCCTCACTTGAGCCTGTCCCCTGATAAATGCTGTTTCTCTTCTCCTTCTCAGTAGTCATAAATAAAGTTTGAATTGAACATAGCATGCTCATTTATTTACATAGTGTCTATCACTGCTTTCATGCTACAATGGCAGAGTTGAGGAGTTGTGACAGGAACAATATGGCCTCCAAAGCCTAATGTGTTTACTGTATATTGCTATATAAAACCATGAGTTCATACTGATACCTCAAATTCAATGCAACACTAGTAGTTGCACTCTGTCTTCCCTTTTTTATATCTGTATCTTCTACCTCTAGCAGTGAGATACTTGCAGGGAAAAAGAGTGCTGAGGAAATAAAAATCACCAGTGAATATAAGCCAAGAAATTACCAGAGATCCCATAGGCCTGGGGACCATTTTATTTCCTTCCAGTCAGAGTAGAGACCATGTCTTTAGGGTGTTCAATGGAGTGCCACAGGGGTAACATCTTGTGGGCCTAAAGTATCCTTATAATAAGGGCTATTTTAGATTTGTCTTTAAAACTGTTTTTAAAAGTCTAGAAAAGATGAAGCTAATCTACAAGTAACTTAACTGGCTACCAGAACAAAGTAAAACATTCTAACATCCTTTAAAGGAATACGACAAAACCCAGCACTCAACAATATCTGGCATCCAATAAAAAATTCAAGTTATGCAAAGAAGCTAGCTATATAACCTAGAAAAAATTCAGTCAATAGAAAGCGACTGAGAAATGGTAGAGATAATGGAATTAGAAGACAAGGAATTTAAGTGGGCTATCATAAATATAGTAAATGTGCTAGATTTAAAGGAAAACAGGAATATAATGTGGAGGAAAATGAAAAAAAAAGACCAAGCACCATTTCAAGAGGTAAAACAAATAGTGCCTTCAATTTTTACTGGTTGGGGTTAATAGAGTAGAAGCTGCAGAAGAAACGATCAGTGAACCTGAAGACATAGCTATAGAAAATATCCTAAATGAACCACAAAAACTGAAAGGACTTAATACAAGGTGAACAGAGACTCAGTAACCTGTGGAAAATATATTTTTTTCAATTTTCTTTTCTCTTTATGCTTCATTTTGAATAGTTCATTGCTGTCTTCAAGTT